CTTTTGTGGAAAAAAAAAACGTTTCTGTGTGATGTCTTAGTTAAGCGTGTATCAGGAATATTTCAAGCCATGATTCATTTCACAGACTTAACTTGGCATTTCTTTAACTTTTTTTTCCCCCAGAAAGAGCTACTTTGAAACCAGTTATCTCTCTGTCAGCCTACTGTTTCTAGGGTATATACCAAACAGCAGGAGAAATCTATTTAAGAGTTAATGACCCATTTGGGAGACTTTACAAATTAGGTAATAATCAGTTGGAGGAGTTAAAAGGCCAAGGCAAAGCCAAGGGAAGTTAATGTGCTAGGCTGCCATTACCTAAATGACACTCTCTGATGAAAGGATCGCTAATGCTATTATAAGCCTGTTTTAATTAATGAAAAATGTAATGATTTGCTTTTTTAATGTTGGTAACTTTAAAAGATGCAGTTTTATCAGTGGACTAGACCAGATTTTCAATAGTGCCACAATGAAAAGATTAGATTGCTCCATAGAGCACCTGGATCGATACAAAGAGTGTTCTTGGTATAGTAAAAATAGAGTCTTTCCATTTAAACGAAATGTTCGCAAGACCCTTTGTGAAATCACAATGATATTTTTTTTGATGTAATGGGATGGTTTATAAAGCACTGATGGGTATCTACTAGAATAGTAAATGTTTGGTATTTCTGTATTCACTTTTATCCTGAAAGCTCTCCAAATACTTTAGTAACTAGAGAAATAATTATTTTAGTCACCTTGGAATAAAACGCAACAGGTATTTAACAGCACACAGTAATGCTATATAACACCCTGTGGCAGAAGCTGCACAAAAGAATTAAAGGAAATTGGATATATTTCTTCAGTTTCATTTAAACGTCAGTTCTTGGACAAAACGCCTTGAGAAAATAATGACCGGGACCTTTTATCAAGTGCTCCTTATTACTACTTTCCAGTGTGTACACTCAGTCTCATGGTGCTTTTTATATTGCAGCAATGTCTGAGGTCTGAAAAGCAGAGCCTGGATTGTAGTGCACCCATTGTAAAAATACCCCTCCCGCTCTGTCATGATTTTGGTGTGTGGCTGAAAGAGATGAACAAACAAGAGGACTAAAGAAAGAGATGTAATGGTCCCTCACTGTACAAAAGGGGAAGAGAGATGAAGAAAACCGAAATAGTCAAGATTTTTGATTTTGCATGACCTATGGAGGATGGCTCACTAGTGCTTTGACTCTCACTGTAGGAAGAGTGAAAGCAATGAGCACGGAGCGTGCAGAAGAGCTGCCACACAATCAGGAGAGCAGCCCAGAGACGGGCCCAGGGAGGTCTGGATCAAGGACCTTGT